CCCTCTTCGTACCGAAAGGAAGGCTCATAATATGAGTCTCGTTCATAAAAATTATGTCTGATGTAAGGGAGAAAAATAAGTGTTTGATACATAAAAAATCATTTGGAACGCTAAAGCCTAATATACTCTTCTTTTGTATAAGTAGATTTAAAAAGAGGTACTGTTAGTTAAGAAATAGCCACATTTTATAAGATAGTGTACTGTAGTCAGTAAAGTTTCAAAATGTCGAAAGTTTAACAAAAATGCATAAGTGTTTTTCTATCGAATTCTGTTTGAAAAGAAGAAATAAAAATATCTTCTCCCCTTTGTCCATTGATCCTGGCGCCAATTTCAGTTTGAATTGCAAGATTCAACTTTTTTTGGATGCTTCGGTTTGCAACTATCGCGAGGAGCGTAGTGACGGGTGCAGACATTTTTTTTTTATATATATATATATATATATATATATATATATATATATATATAAAATGTACTTGTGCATTTCAAGGCTTCGTCAGTCGCAAAGCCGCTACCAACGGAATACTGGTAGTGGTAACTACGTACTAGTACTACTACTCTATTGGCAAGTATTGTGGTTGTGTTTGCAGTTCTGCCTATTGCTTGTGCTAGGTGTTACTGGTGCATATCTAGTAAAACTGCTAAGACTTCTTCTCTTAGTGTTGTTGGCTTTATGACATGACACTGTGCGAGTATTACTTACCTTGTTGCTGTGGGATGTGTATTGTAAAATGTTCAAGTAAATTAACTATGGCTTCTCATCACCATACATACAATATGCACTTGACCACAGATAAATAAAACTATTATTTGGACACAAAATAAAGATACTTGCTTAATTATTATTGAATTAATTGGTTTGTTTGAAACTAAACAAAACAATAAATCCAACCAAACCCTCAATATTACTTTTTTTTTTTTTTTATTAATATTACTTTCTAAAGTGCCTCTAAAAATTGACTCGTAGTCACGAGTCAATTTTTAGAGGCACTTTAGATAGTAATATTAATTAAAAAAAAAGAGTAATATTGAGGCTTAAAAAAAGAAGAAATCCAATTTGCTTGGTGCAGAAATTATTTAGATTTGTTTCTTTTATGATTTTATCCTTCCTTTCAATGAGAAGCTGGATTTTGGCGAGTAAAGTTAATGATTGGAAGGAAAGTAACAGCTTTTACTGATTTATACTTGGAAGTTTAAAAAAAAAAATTTACATCTATAATTGCTTCCTTATGTAAAACAAATTTCTAGAGCATTTTTCAGCACAAGTTTTTGCAGCAAAATTATATAATAAATACGTATCTACAATCTATATATTAATATTTCGTAAGTTTATAGTTCAGATGACAAAAGTATTTATTTTATATAGCAAATATTCATTTTTCCACACGCTTCCTTCCTTGTCAGAGCACAGCATTTGGTAGTAAATCAGAATAATCCCATAAATTGGATAATAATAATAATAAAATGAAATTTCCAGATAAAAATGTATCTTGTTTTAACTACGGGTCAGGCTTCTTACTGTTCTATTCTTGTAGATAAAAACTTGCGAATTTGAGTTAAGTCATTCAATATAAACATCACTGATTTTTTAATTGGTTATGTGATGAAAAAGTAAAAACTGTTCCAGTTTTCGTTAAAATTATTTTCATTAACATCATTTTCTTAGAATATGTAGAAATGGGTGGAAACTTAAGTAACTGTATTTTTAAGTTAAAAGAAGTAACATTTTCAGTTAAAACAAATTTCATTGTAACTTCTGCACTCTAAAACAAACATTCATGATTGGAAAATTAATTTTTTTAGGTAATTAAATCCAAGTCTTAAGCTTCCAAACTATTATAAAAGTCATAAAATATTAAAAAGTATATGAAAAGGCAAAAGGTACAGTTGTAAAAAGTCAATATAAAAATAAAAAAAGAAAAAGTTTGTCGCATAATTTGGCAGGAGCGTAGGGATAAAAATCCTTTTTTCAAATTGTCATTTTTCTTTTAATGCAACAATCTAGTGATTAGTTTTCATATCTCAGTTCATGAAAAATTTTACTAAAAATAATAAAACCTTACACACATTCATACAATTTACTGTAAATTGTATATACATGAATGTGTGTGTGTGTAGCGGATTTTCTGATTGTAATTAAAAAGTGGAGTGCAAACAAACAAGGTATACCGTTGAAGGTTATTAAAACCAAATTTTCTTTATCCTTTCTTCGGAAAGTTGTCATAAGTGACTTCCTGTCTGAAAAAGAACTTTGTAAGACTTCATTTCAATAATGCGAACATTGTACCTATCAAAAAATCTTTTAGTTTAAAATGCATTTGAGAAAACTTATATATGTCACATTTTTGTCTGTGTGTATACTTGGCAGTCATGATTTTTGCACTCTAATACACATGTGCAATTTCAGAATTTTGCATCATAAACGAAACGAAACAAACTCATTGCAGTGAAAAGATTTTTTTTTACCCTACGAAGTTAGCTCATGAAAATTATATAACATTCTTCTAATTCAGTAAAGGCCACTTCAGAAGGAGGATAGCTAATTTATATAATTTTAATTTTTTTTTCCCTTGTTTTATAGAAGTTGACATGATGGCGGTTTAACACTTTTAAGTCGCCTTATTTAAAAATTAGCCAGAGAAATAACCAAAAAATCAAAATGCAAGCTGTAAATTATCCAGAGATTGGGACAGTTTTTATTTTGTTTTTTTTTCTTGTGTGTGTAACATTAAGCTGCTGTGAAACTATCATTTTTGCAGAAAAAGCATAGTTTTTTTAATGTAGAAGTTCATATTTTTTTCAGAAGACTCTGTTCTATCCTGTCTTTATTTTTCTTAAAAAGTTTGAAAAATCAGGAAACTTTTTTTGTGGGTGTGTATAAACATGACAAATAACTGATTAAATAACTTCTTATTAATGTACAGTAATAATGTTTTAAATGGAAAAAAAGTACAATGAAGAGCTTGATCGATTCATTCATGACTTTGCTCTTCGGCAGCAATAAATGAAGCAAATCTTTTGACAGAAGTCTTGAACACTGTCATGTTATGTTCTTGTTTTTTTTTGTTTTGTTTTTTTTTTTTTCATTTGTGACATTCACTGAGAAAAATTAAGGAAAAGCTGTCAAAATTATTTTTCGTCAGATTTTGAATGCAAAACAATGACTGAAACGTCAACCTTTTGCATTTATCGCTACAAGATATTTCAAATCAAAATATCTACTTCGTGCAATTGCGCCCCTTTTAGGATTTTTTGATCAATTGTTTTTAATTGTTAACTGATTTGAAATTTGCACAATAATTAGCAAAAACAAAGAAGTAAAACATCAGAAACTTTGATGACATTGAAGCTGTTTTCTTTGCCGTGAAAAATGTTTTAATCACTTCTCCTGATAAGATGGCACATTTCCCCATAAGAAAAAAGTTTCCCTTAAACGATTCAGTTCTAAATCATTTGTAAAAAATGTAGTAAGTAGTAGAATTTTTGTGTAGATTTTTCAAGAGCTACCCCACCCCCCGCAAAAAAAATAAAAAATAAAAATAAAGAGGGAACCTAAAATTCTGAGATAAAAGCATAGAAAAGGCATTTTAAAAGACATTTCTGAAACTAAAGGGCCCTGGTTAAAGCTTGGTATTTTCATCTATAAAAGACCATCAGGAGTGGGGAAAATAGTGACAAATATAGGTCTTAATTAGCAATAACGAAATTATTGTCCCTGTTTCTGCCTTGAAGTTTTTATTTTATTATTTGTTCATTGGTAATAATGCAAAGGTAGCGAAAATAGGTAACATTTAAAATTTTATTTCTTTGTTCCTTCTTAAAACGTTACTTTAAGTTAAAGCATTTCGTTTTTATTTTTTCAAAAAACTTGAATAAGTTTTTTTTCTTTTCTTTTTTCGTTTTAAATTCATCTCCAGATACCAGAATCTTTTTTTTTCTGCTCATCATTTTAAAAAAATCCGACTATTCCGTCTGCCAGTTGGACTTGCCCTGCATTTATTACATCTTCACGTAACTCTCGTACAGAGTTCGATGAAAATTGAACTTCTGAACTTGTTTGTGTATAACAGTAACACGAAACTCGTGATTCCAAATTCAAAGTATTGTTTTGTTTTTCAGAATTCAAACATACGCTCCATACATAAAAAAAAAGGTTTTAGAATATTTAATGGTAATAGTAACTTTAAATTAAATCTGTTTAAAAAAAAAAAAGAAACATTCATTTTGTTTCTTCATTTTAGCTACATTAATGGGTTTCCTTAGGAAATGGACATTGGACATTTATGATCTTAATTTCTTAAAGAAGCTATACAGGCGTTGGTGTGTTCGTGTGATTTCTACCTGTTTTTAATGTTTGTTAACAACGGACAAAAGCTGCTATGCAGACGTTACGTCATTTCAGACAGGTGTCATTCGCTCTTCAGCGCTAGATCGATATGGTCTATAAGTGGAGAATAATATCTATTTTAAATTTCTCTCACAAACGATAAATAAAATTAGAACATTTGTTGCATTAAGTGGGTGTCCATTAGTCCAAACGGTTTGAAATGAAATCTCGGATGATCAACTGATTTCTTTTGATTTTTCTTCAAGTCTTCATCAAATAAAATCTGCACTTTACTAAGTGTGTGTTAGAACTCAATGCACTCTAGCTATTATTACGTAACGGAGTTGTAAAAAAAGCGCGTGGTATGTTGAACATAAATTGAAATGTCTTTTTTAGAGAATACTGCTTTTCAGTCATCGATTCAGTAAGTAAGTTGTTTGAGTTTTGCAGCCTTGTATTAACAAGATATTTTAGCAGCTATCTACTATAGTGTGCACACTGCATATAACAATTTATTTGTAAACAAACAGCGAATTTTAAGTGTGAAATTTAAAAAGATGTAAATACACTATAAAAAAAAATAAGAACGGGTAGCCGGTAGCTTCTTATATATATTGTGTGTGTGTGTGTGTTTAATCAGGCTTCTTAAATTGACAGCTGCAGTGTACCGGATGTAATGAGCCCGTTATATTTTGTGGTTGTTGTTACTGCTGATTCTGGAAATCGTTTAGCCGTGGAGCCGCAGCAAGTTGCTGCTGCCGTCTGATGATGTCTGCTAGTGCTACCGATGCTGTTTGCACCAATGCTACTGATGGGGCTACTGCTGCAACTTCCCGCTGTATTACTCCCTTCACACACACACACACATATAGAGCGGGGACCGACTTTTCTGTAGCACGGGGTACTTCTCCTCCACCCAGAACAATCTCTCACTTTCTCTTATATGTCTATTCGTCCCTTCTTTCTTTAATTTCGTACTTTTCCTTCCGATTTTTCTGCTGCTACTGTTCCTTTACACTTTCTTTCGCACTCGAACTGCAAAATTCTCCTCCCACTTCTTTCCTCCCTATCCGAAGATTGTCAAGTCACACACTACTTTTACACCCTTTTCTCACCATACATCAAGAAGGTGGTCTATTCCTATTTTTTGTACCTTCTCCTTTCCCCCCCTCTTCTTTTTAATTTTATTGTTTTTTCCTCTTCCTTCTCCTCGGCATTCCCATCTTTTTTTTATCCCCCTCTTTTCACGAACTTCTTTTTCTCCTTCAACTCTTTCATCTTCATTTTTCACATGTGCCTATCCAATACATAATGTAAGTACATGTACTTATCAATTCGTTCACTGATATTTTAAACCCTTCCTCCACTTTCTCCTCTTCTAACTTTTGCATTTTCTTTGCTTTCTCTATTCACGCCTCCTTTTTAACCTTTCTCTCGTTTTTCTACACTCTACTGATAGTTTTTGTTATCCGACAATATGCAAGTAAGTGTGTGCGTGTGTGTGTATATGATTATACATAAGTCTGTTTAGTGTTTATGACTTGTAAGCACATTAAGACGAGCAATTTGTTACGTACATTGGCATGGAAGTTGTTGTCACTTTGTTGTAACCAGCTCCTGTAGTTACGACCTTACGTCTGGCATTACTAAGTGTCTACTACGACTAGGCGACAAAACTGATCAGACTGAGGTAAGGTTTTTCACTCTGAAAACTAAATCACTTTTACTTTTTATATCTTTAACGCACACACATATATACACACCTCCATGGTGTTAAAAATGGCAAGTTTAAAAGAAAATCCGAACTTTTTTATTTTTTACTTTTGCTATTATTAACTTTTCTTTCGATTTAAATAATTTGAAATCTCCAAGATATCGTCCCAAACCCATAAGGGGAAAAAATTACATTTGCTTGAAAGGTGTGTGAACAAAAAGTGGATGTTGGTACGGTTGAATGAGATTTTTTGTTTTTTTTATTTTTTTATATACCAATTTAAGTTGCCAGTGAACAGACGTAGATATTTGTTGTTTTTTTTTTTGTTCCTTAACAATTATTGCGTTTTAAAACTTTTTTGAATAACCACTCAGTATCGACAATGGACAAGAAGACAAATTTAACAAGAAATAAGGATGCACTTTAAATAAGAATTGCAAAAATACAAATTCGGGATTTTAAGCAACAATATCATGTTATGGTCATTTTAAAAAAAAATATAAATAGATGGTGATGGTTGCAACAATTTTTATCGCAATGCATTTAACTATATGCTGAAATTCACAAATACTTGTCATTCGAAAGAAAAAAAAAGTTTTGTTTCCCGAATCTACATCCATGATGAGACTCGTTCAAAAATTCACCGGTGAAATTAACAGACAGAAACAGGACCAGTGTGTGTGTGTGTGTGTGTTTGTGAATGTTCCTGCATTCCGTATGCAAAACTTATATATACACACACACACACACACAATTACATACATGTACTTAATCCTTCATATAGAACTACCGCTGCCCATACTTTTAAAAATGCAAAACAGGAAACATTTTTTAAAATCTTACTTTGTTTTCCTATTCGTAAATTCAAAACTCAAAAGGGAGCTTAGGACAACGACTATTTTAAATGGTTATTTACTACGCGTAAAGTTCCTCTGCTTAACGAACGTGTTGCATACCCCCACCCACTTTTCCTTTGAGGTTGCCAGAAATGTGTGATAATCGAATTTCCCCGCCCTCTTGACATGGAACGGGCTTTGATTTTAGTTTAAGCTTAGTCGAGAGAAGACCTCTGATTTAGTAGAGTATATGCTGTCCTGTGATATTACCACAGTGCCGGTGTTACGTTGACCCTATGCTTGGTACGTACTAGTTGAATGTTGTTGTTGTTGTTCTATGATGATGACAACCGATCTCTATCCACGCACTTTTTTTTTAAAATTCAGCGATTTTTGTGTTTATGTAGATTTTTTGGTTGTCTGGTCACAATCCCAAAATATACCAATAGTAAGCAGAAAAAGAAAAGGATTTTCACTGCAGCTAAAATAATGACCACAAATCAGCATTATACACTTAGAGCTAAGCATTACACAACTGTTGAAAAGGAAAAAAGAAAAAAAAAGATGTCTAATTGTGAACACTTTCATTTTTATCAGGTTTGCAAAGTCAACGGAAAATACAATTTTATTAGCAAGAAAAATAATAGGAAATTAAAGAAAAAATAATTTTAAAATGTTTATTTCAGATGGGAGTAGAACTAAAAATGATTTAAAAATGGATTTTTGATTTTAATTCATATACTTTTTAAAACCTCTATGGATATTAATCAAATTTTTCCGTTATACACTGAACAGATTTGAACAACAGCAAATGGAAAATCAGTTTTGTTACATTTTTCTCCAATATTTCTAGTGCCAGTTATTTGGTGCGGTTATAATTAGAAAAGTTACTTTGACAAAAAAAAAAAAAACAGAAAAAATTAAACGTGGATACATTCTGTTCGACAAAAAAAGATATTGAGAAGAACAATTGAAATGACATTGCACGCTACTGTCGTTCTGCATTGGTGAATAATATTTAAACAATTTGCAGTATAGATAGAATAATGAATGTCAATTGTCATTGTCAATACAATACTGTTTGTAAATAATGAAATTGCCCTTAGCCTAACAGAAACTAAATACCAAGTCCCTAAGGGAAAATAGGCAAATTGAGTTTTAGTGGGTTTGTTTTTTTGTTTTTATTGACTTGATCGAAAAGATGTAGTCGAAATCTTTTGTTAAATATAATTGTACAATATTGAATACATGGTTATTTTTAAAGCAATGTAGAGTATTTGCGCGCGTGTGTGTGTGTGTGTGTTCACTTACCGACCATCAGTTGTCTATCTATTTACTCAATAATACTCATTATTGCAATGTGGGTCTCCTTCGTTCTAAACGAAGGAAGCGTGCGAAAACTGAATATCTCTGAGTGGGGGAATGAACGATCGATAATGAAAAATCGTAATGAAGAAAGTGTCCGTGGTTGTTTCGAGGTGGGAAGTGACCAAAAGACCAGTGAAGACAAACGAAAAAGACACCATTCTATCAAGCGTTAGTGGCGGGCAGTAGATAACTAAGTGGATAGCTAGGTCAGTGCGACATGTCAGCTTGCCCGAGCTGCTCCTGCTACTGGTAATGGTACAACACGTAATTCCCTTGCAGACTGACAGACAGACAGACAGACTGGTTTTCCGCTGTTCGCCTCTCTCTCTCGCTCACACACGCACACACATACGCGCGCTGTGTAAAGAAAAGTCGAGCAGCCATAGTCAGTTAACGGTAGCTTGCTTGGGTAGGGAACAAAATGAATATACAAAACGCTTGTTAGGGGAGAGAGAGAGACACACACACATGCACGATAGGACCTATCTGCGTGTTTTTGTTTTTCTTTTCGTATGTGTGCGGGTGTGATGTCGGTCATCAGAAGGCTGTCTTGTCCGTGTCATTGGCAAGTCGAAAAGAGGTCAAGAAGACTTCCGTCTCGAATCTGTTGAAAAACTTGCACAACGAATAGGCGCCGCCGCTGTCAGTGTCGTCGGCGTCGTCCCACCCCGTTGGCTCGATCAAGGTGGAATTTGGTTGAGCTGTGTGTGAGAGAGAGTGAGAGAGAGAGGTCATTGTGACCTGCTGCTGGTCGAATGTAACCAGGAGGAAACACGCGCACACACACAAAGGAAATATTGTTTTTGCACGCTTTATTGTAGATTGTCTGATGGTATCAGATGATGTCTGGGATTAACTCTATAATAAGCCAGTGCTGATCGAACACAGACACGCGAAGCATTATAGAAGTTGAAACAGGGAGGGTGGCGTTGTTATGAATTGGGATCACTATCAAATGCAACCCGAATATACATACTTCCATTTTTCCCCTTTTTAACATCCAGATTATTTAATAGTTTTTTTTCACGAAACAATATTTTTTTAAAAGAAAATAAAGCTAATACTGCATAGTATGTGCTCGTGTTGCTTGATTAGACAGGGGAACTGCTTTTTTTTTATCTCATCAACAAACTTAGTTATGCACATTAGAAAATGTTTCAATGCTTCATATATCCCGCGTGTACGCACTCAGTATGTTTTCGAAAACCTTTTCATTTGTCTTAATTTCAGTCACATGTTTAATACACTTTAAGAAGGGATAGCCATTTCATTTATTTGTTTCTTTCTTCCATTATTTCTCAGAACTGTCTGTATCTCGTAAGAAAAAAAATCTGTAAGTCAACAATTCAAAGATATCAGGAACATCATTACAAAGAAAATTATTGAGTAAATTCAAATTAGATACGAATGAATGCGCTAGTGAAGAAAAGGCCATATCAGAAAGAAAGAAAAACAAGCTTGACATGCTTCTTTTTTAAAATTGAGATTAACTTTGAGAGCGAGTGTAAGTAGCAAGTTAATGGAAGTGCCCACAAAATGTGTATGCATGTATGTGGGTAAAAAGTTGCTTTCTTAGACTTCAGCTTAAAAGTCAGTTGCATGCAGACACATGTGCATTTCCCATAAATGCGCTAGGATAAAATATGCAGTATCTACATGCACTGATATTCCTCTGCGCGCGCACGCGCACGCACATGCATGTAGGCTTTTGAAATAGGACCAGTGTGATCAGCAGAGCTGGTGAAATGGGTTCTTCCATAGTGCATAGTAGTGCATTTACCAGAGATTATTTAAGTTACAATTAAGGAATTTTTAGCAAGTAAGTTTACTTCATATTTCTCCATTTTACTGTTTATATTTCCTTTTTTATTTCTTTTTTTGCCATTCTTTCTTGTTTATTCTCTTGGCATTTTGCCACAATACATCGTTCACTTTGTTTTGATTTTTTGCTCATTTAGTTTTTTTTTCAACATAATTCTTCTTACTTGATTTGGAAACTAAACTTTACAAAAGTAACCACTACTACGATTATTACATGAAACGATCAACACACTGTCACTTTTCTTTTTTTCTGAAGAAAATAAGTTATCTACATTTTTTTTTTACCTTGTTAACAAAACAAATTTCCGTCACGACTGATTCTTTGAATTTTTTATAATTTCAAGTATCGTATTAATTAATGAGCAAGTCAAACGATTTTTCACGTATTCAATATGCAGACAGATTTTAGTTCTTTGCGACAAAAAATTTCATTTCTATTTCCTTTTTCTTACCAAAAACCGTGTGTAAGTTAGTAGGCATGTTTTCAGAACAGTTGTTTTACATTAGTAAGTTTCACTTTAATGAAATTTTAACTTTGTTCTGCTGTTTTTATTTATTTAGGTAATTGCGAAATATCAAAATGTTTTCAATGCAATTTGTTTTTAGTTCTCTCTGCTTAATCTCATTATTAATTGCAAGTACTTTGAGCTACTCTCTTGGATAACTTTAATTAAATTTTAATTACATAGCGAAATATAGTATTTATTTTCTCCTTTGTAGTCTGGCTTCAGGAACTAACTAAAAAGTGAACATTTGAAAAGTTCTAACAAATTAAATTTTCGTAATCAAAGCACACAGATGAAGCTTAGAAACAATCTGATCATGAGTTGATAACGAAAACTTCCTGAGTTCAGTATCTGCTTAGGTTTAATTTTATAAGCTGAAAACTTTAAAATAAATCATTTTAATCGCAGGGTTCTGTTAATTAATCTCAATGCGAACTTTCAACCT